GGCCACAGTCCCACAGGCTTTAGATGTTTTTCTGCTTGAGCACTTGTGATTTTATTGCCTGGGAGATGAACAGGCTTCTGCAGCACCGAGGACATGCTGAAGAGGTCATTCAACCATTGACTCAGGGGTGCTGGAGCAGGAAAACCATTAAAACGTGCAGGATAGTGGTCTTCGGGTGCTGCATTAGACTGGTTCCGCTCATACCTCTCTGACAGGAGTTTTTGTGTGAAGGTGGGTAAAAATCTATCCACTTCAATGCCTCTTTCCTGCGGTGTCCCGCAGGGCTCGATTCTCGGACCCCTTCTATTTTCACTCTATCTGCTTCCGCTGGGGTCGATCCTAAGAAAACATGGTATTCCATTCCATTGCTACGCCGATGACTGTCAGATCTACCTGCCACTGAAACCAGCCAGTGCTTGTTCCGTCCACCCTCTCCTCAAATGTCTGGACGACATTAAGACATGGATGGCTTCAAATTTTCTAAGTTTTAACAACCAGAAGACTGAAGTCATTGTCTTTAGCCCTAGCTCAGCTGCCGCCTCTTATCCTGTGAACCTGGACTCCCTTCAGCCTTATCTGAAGCACTCTGTTAAAAACCTCAGAGTGGTTTTTGACTCGGATTTTAAGTTCGACAAACAGATCAGTTCAGTTCTGCAGAGAAGCTTCTTCCAACTGCGGCAGGTAGCTAAGCTCAAGCCAGTGCTGTCTAGACCCGACCTTGAGACACTAGTCCATGCATTCATCACAACCCACCTGGACTATTGTAATTTACTGTATGCTGGGGTCAGCCAGGCCTCTATCTCACGGCTACAGCTCGTCCAGAATGCTGCAGCTCGGCTCTTAACCGGTACACCGAGGTATGAGCACATCACACCAGTTCTGTCCTCCCTACACTGGCTTCCTGTGAGAACTAGGATTGATTTCAAAATTCTCCTCCTGACCTATAAATGCATAAATGGCCTCGCACCCATCTACCTCTCTGAGCTACTGGAACCATATGTTCCCTCTCGGGCTCTGAGATCTTCCGATCAGCTGCTTTTGGTTGTTCCAAAAACACGACTGAAGCTCCGAGGAGATCGGGCGTTTTCAGTCATGGGTCCCAAACTGTGGAACAACCTACCCCCCAACATTAGGCATGCCACCTCCCTTCCTGTGTTCAAATCCCTGCTAAAAACATATCTGTTCTCTCTGGCGTTTCATACTGTGTGAGTTGATTTAGTATATCTTGTTCCATGTCTTCATTTTAATGCTGTTGTTTTAATTTTTTAAGGTATATTCTTACTGCTTTTTATTTCTCAGTGTTACCCTTAGTGTTAAGCACTTTGATAACAGTCTATCTGTTTTAAATTGTGCTCTATAAATAAATATGACTTGACTTGACTTGACTTCGGGGACTGAGATTGGACACCGCTGCACAAAACGATGAGGGATCTCTTTTATGATAAAAATCACAAAAAGGGTTAAATCAGGTCATCTGGACAGTTTCTTTTTGGGAGAAATGTTTCGTCTTTCATCTGAAAGACTTCATCCGTCTGAGGCCTGCCAACCCAGATCCGTCGTATAAATAGCACCTCACTGGTGTGTTTCAAGCCAGCCCGATTGTTTTGGATGGATGGTCCCTTTTTGCATGTGTAAAGCCAGATCCTGGGAATCCCACAGAGGACGGGCATGAAACATCAACGAGGTGCATTTTGTACGACGGATCTGGGTTGGCAGGTCTTAGACGGATGAAGTCTTTCAGATGAAAGACGAAACGTTTCTCCCAAAAAGAAACTGTCCAGATGACCTGATTGAACCTTTTCTGTGATTTATCTACCTGGATGACTGCGCTTTGTATGACAAACTCATTTGTAGCGCCCCTTATTTCAACCGTCTTTGGCTTCGATTGCGTTCGTGCAAACTTAAATGTTTTATTTTAGACATTCCTTGCAGTAACAGTCTCCTGCTATCTTCCAGTCAACTTCGTACTCAAGCAACGAACAATTATTCAGTTCTCACCCTTGTTCTCTTTTCAAAATAAAACAGTTACTGGTCCAGAAGCAACATATACCATATTTTTTGGGCCTATAAGTCACAGTTTTTTACATAATTTGCAAGCCCTGCAACTTATACACCAAAGTGATGCATTTCTGTTTCTTTTCCCATATTTATAAACCAATTTTTGGCTGAGATATGACCGTTTTCATTCATTCTGACTGAAAATATTGAACACTACCATTTTCAGCCAGTAGATGGCACTCGAGTAGTATGGCATGCCGTTGCGTCATGTAATAGGTAAAAGTGTCTATTAATGACACAATCGGTTTCCCTGAGGCTCATTGGGATTAACCTGTATAAATAAAGGTTGAATGAAAGTCAGCCTGCTTCGTCTAGCTCCGGGATCATGCCTGGATCAACCGTCGACCAGCTTCATTTCTCTGCGCCGCCCCGGTGAAATGCAGCTTATTTGACCATTAAAGTGCATTTATTAAGTAAAAGTTCAACTGAGACACACCTTTACTATAATATCGAGCAAACAAATAATTGTTTTTAGGTGTTAATCTTGTTAAATTGTTGTTAAAGTCCTCCCGTGCACGCTCCTGCGGCCGCCATTTGGCAGCCAGTTGATTTTTGGCACAACACCGGCCCATAAATCCAGGTTGTCAGCGGTGACGCATAATAGATGCGACGTACACGGTGAAAAATACGGTAGTTTGTAGTTTTTGCAAGGGCTTCGTGTTCATCTGGAAAGCACGTTAGGCTTAATGTTTTATTTTTTCACTTGTATTCATTGTTTTTTGCTTCACCTGAAGTAAAGAAGCTACCAAACCCCTACGACCTGGTTCACACCAAACGTTGTTTAGCTCGATGCACGCATCATCAGAACAAGATCACAAGCGGTTTGTGTGGTTTGGAGCTGAAAAATGTCCAAAGATGTTTTTTTAAATGACCAAGAGTTTGTATTATATTTCATTCAATCTGTTATTTACTGTCAGCGGCCAACACAGAACAATAAAATGAGATGAAAGTCATCAGAGCTGTCAGCGTGCGCGCTCCTGCGGGAAACAGAAAGCCCCGAGTTTCTCTGGGAGACTCTGGTTTGGAGATTCTGAGGGAACGAGGCGGGTCGGACGGGGGTTGGAGGGTTTGTTGTCTCCCTCGGGCGTGCGAGGAGGTTTTCAGAAAACACTGCCAGTCACGTCTGGCCCTCTGCGGACAGTAAATCACGCTCTGTGCTTCCGAGCAGCGCTCCCGGCTCCCCTGCTCAGCTGGAAAGGCAATACGCCACGTCCCCGAGGCGGCGGGACCACCCAGGAGGCGGACGGGGTCGCACAGAAACGCTCATCCACAGAAAAACAAACAAGCATGCGCTCGCGCAGTCGTCACGCAGACCCCCGTGATTTAGCATGTGCAGAACACGCACACACATGCGCAACAACCGAGCTCGTCCCCGGGATGTGCGGCGAGGGGGCACACGAATCTCACAGCAAGTGGTGGTTTGATGCAAACACCACACAGAGTCCCAACTTCCTGCGCTGACGACCCTCGTCTGCACAAGGACCGGGCCAAGAGGACGTCTCGTCTCGCTCGTTGAAACTAAAGAAAGAATCCCGGTCTGGACAGCGTCCTTCACGAGGAGCGAGAGGGAGAAACGACACGAGGACAAGAGTGAACCGAAAACTCTTTCAGGAGGAGGGACGAGGAAATCGATGCAAAGACGAGAGAAGCTGTTCTTTTAGCTGAAACGTGGAACTGACGTCGCTGAGACAGACAAAAGCACAGAAGAAGCAAAACACTAGCTAAAAGCAAAATCTTTCATAAGATTAGCTCAAAGCTAAAAAAAAATCAAAGCCTAGCTAAAAGTTTTTGTTTTTTTCTTTCGGCTGCTCCCTCTTCAGGGGTCGCCACAGTGATCGAAGTCGCACGGAGACTCTGTGATTGTTTTACGCCGGATGTTCTTCCTGACGCAACCACAGACACCGAGCTGCCACAGCCTCTGTGTGGAGCAGAGAGCTGCCATCAGGGCGCCCGGGGGAGCAGAAGGTGGGGGTTAAGGGCCTTGCTCAAGGGCCAGAGAGGGGCAAATGAGGGTGGAGGCAGGTGTGGGTGCTTCACCTTTCCCACCCACATTTTGATGTTGTCAGTACTGGGAGTTGAACCAGCGATTTTCCAATCACAGGCCCACCTTCTCTAACCTCTGCACCACCACTCCCACAAAGCCTAGCTAAAAGTAAACCTGGCTACAAGTTTGAAGAAGGAAAACATTAACTAAAAGCTAAAAGAAGCAAAAAGGTTGTTAAAATCTTTAAATAAAAAATCCTCTCGCTAAAAGCTACAAAAGCAAAACGTTAGCTAAAATCAGCAAAGGGTCAGCTAAAAGCTAAGTACAGCAAAATGCTAGCAAAAAGTGAAATGTAGAAAAACACTGGCTAAAATGTCAGAAAGGCAGAAAGTTAGTTAAAAAGCTGAAAGCAGCAAAACCGAAAAATGCTAAAAAAGCTAAATGCTAGGTAAAAGCAGCGACGGATTAGTTAAAAGCTAAAAGTGGCAAAAGTCTATCTAAAAGACAAAGCAACAAGCAACAAGTGGCAAACAGCTAGCGGAATTCTAAATGTAGCTAAAGGCTAGCTAATAGCTAAAATAGCAAAATGATAGCTGGAAGCTAAAAGTAGCAAAAACAACCTAAAAAATATAAATATCAAAGGGTAGCTCAAGGTGTCAAAATGTTAGCTAAAAGCTAAAGTATAAAAAGAGTAGCTAAAGGCTAAGTTTGCTAAATAATAAAAGTAGGACAAAGCTTACTAAAAATAGCTAAACGTGCTACAAGCTAAAGGTAGCGTAAGACAGAAAGTGTTCCTGGAGGAGTTGAACGCCGCTCTCGGTTTGAACACTCGACCCCAATGTGAAAAAAATATACATGAACGATGAGATTCCAGCTCGTCCGCCCTCCGCCCCGCTCCACGACACTTTGGGGCGCCCCGTTCGTAAGCGGTCAGAACCGCCGGCCTTCTTCGACTCACCTGCTTCTTTGCAAACAGCTGCGAGGTCCGCCCCCACGTATCCGTGAGCGACGTCCGCCAGCCGCGTCAGCTCGTCCGTGGTGGCGCTGCACGGGACGAAACGCAGCTGCTTCTGCAAGATGTCCGCCCGCTCCGCGCTGCTGGGAACCCCCACCTGCCGCCGTGAAGCCAGCAGAACACACGATCAGCTGTTGCTCACCCGGGACTTCCTGTCCGGCGGTGCTGACGGGTGGTACCGACCTCCAGCTCCTTGTCGAAGCGTCCCGGCCTGCGCAGGGCCGGGTCGAGGGCCTGGGGTCTGTTTGTGGCCCCCAGGACTAACAGCTGGCCTGAGTGGTCCTCCTAAAACCACAAAACAAAAGTCAGTCATTGAACGCATCATCTCGTCCACAGACCGTCGTGCAAAAAGTGGAAAAAAAAAAAAAAGATGTGAAAATGTCGAGATTTGTTTTAAAAACGTGCATTTTAAAAAACTTAGTTCAGGTTAAGTGAGATCAGTTCTGCTCGTAAAATAAATAGGAAATAAAATCATTCTTGATTTAATTTAAATAAGTAAAGTGAACAATAAATTCCATAAATATAAGTTTATTTAACCTGTTTTAAAGGACCGTCCCCTTCGTGTGCATCAGTGATCAGTCTCAAAATAAATTAAAGAAGTATTTTTGATTAGTTAATTATATAATGGGAAATAAATAAAATGTGCATTTATTGGTTTTAAAGTGGAAATGACGTTTTAAAACTTCACTTTAATTAAAAAGCTAGCGTTCCTCGAAGGAGTGAATATCGACTGCGGCCTAGCTGTGGCAGCCATCTTGAATCAGGTTGACTCCAGACGAATACGAGCTCACGATCTGCAGCCAGTGAAAGATTTATAAGATATTTTGCTAACAGACAAGTTAATGCTAAAAAGTAATGCTAAGTTGGGGATAATGCTCAGATACTTCATCAAGTTTTAGCTCAATATCTGTAAAATCGACTGAGTTACAGCCACGTTTGGGTATGCTAATGTTAATGTGCTGCGGCGGCCATCTTAGACTGGGTTGACTCATTCAGCTGTTGAGGAATAAAAAATTTTGAGCTCGTTCTGATGCTCGGCGTGGCTGAGGGTGCAGGCAGGAGCGGTGAGGAGCAGGAAGTGCTTCTCCACGTTCCACAAACCGGTTGTTAGACGGGAACTCAGATCCAGGAGCTGCTGTATTTACACAAATATCATCAATCCTCTTTTTTTGTTGTTTTTCTGCTCGGGGACCGGCGGTTCCACCTGAATAAAGTTATGGGACAACAGCAGCTTAGAGCAACCTCAGATGATTTCTTTCCCAGAATGCCTTTCAGAACGTTACAAACGACACTCCAGAGGTCCGACCCGCTGCGTCTGAGCTTCATCCAGAACTCAGAGATGGTTTCTGCAGGACCTTAATGAGGAATCCTGCTGCGGTCGTGTTTCAGCCGTGCATCCTCTGAGCGAGCGGCTGCTGACCCGCCTGCACGTACTCTGACGGAAAACTGACTTTTAATAAAACCGAAGACACACAAGTGTTAGAGATCCAAGCTCTGTAATGGGCTAAAAATGATCCGAAGAGAAAACAAACTTTAAGTTTTCATGTCCTCTAGACGCCGTTGGGCTTGTCTACAGATCGCTCCCCGCAGCTAGCTGGTGGCCATCTTGAGGGTCTAGCTCCTGCAGAGACATGGCTGAAACACTGAAAGTTCTTCATCTGTAATCTTTTTCATACTGGTTCAGAGGCAGCCGTGTCCTGCTGCCTTGTGTAATGGTTACTTTGATCAACTTCCTCCAGATGTTAAATCCAGCTTTGTACAGAAATGGGAGTTTCGTGGCTTGAAAATGTGCCGATGTGGATTACGCCGGCACGGAAAAACAACCAGCGGACTACACCCAGCACTTAATTAAAGCACCCAGTTAGATATGATTATATTTAAATATGAAAAATACTATGAAAGTATTTGGCAATGTTCTAGTCTGTGTAAAGTACTAGAGGAGTCATTTGTGAACATGTGTTTAAACTTCGATCGGTCGTTACTGTCAGGGGATTGTTGGTCAATGGATGTTTTTAACTTCCATGGTGGAGAATGTTAACTGCCCATGAGCCATGTGTTTGAGTTAGCAGAGAGATCTTCTCTCAGAGAGAGAGAGCTGATGTGATCCTGCACGTGCAGCTGGGTGGCCGAGGGCATCAGTGTCTGCCTGTGAGCTGATAAGGTTATAAAAACAATCCTCGCACGCCGCCCGGTGCAGATTCTCGTGACTGGGCTCCATGATGCACAACTTTTTTATGCATCCGTGCAGCCTGTGGTGAAAGTCTGCACTGTTCTTATGGGACGTTAGTAACAAAGTGTAAATCCTGCCGGCAGTTTCTGACTGTTTCTTCCTCTCTGGCTGTTTGTTACAGGGAGAAATGTGTAAAACTCAGTTTGTTTGTTTGTTTGTTTGTTTGTTTACAGTGTTAGTTAAATGTCTGTTGCGCCACATCGTTTAGGTATTTTCTTGTGCTGCAGCTCAGGTTGTTTACATGATTTAGGTCCCTCGATATGGCCGAACCAGGCAAGCGATACATAAGCGTCACGCCATCGATCGACCGGTGACCTGATTATAGACGGAGCTATAAAACAGCTGTACGAACACCAGATGTGAGAGGGTCACATGCAGCTGGGAGACTTACTGAACCGATCCCATCCATCAGAGTCAGGAGAGAAGCAACAACTCGTTTCTCCACCTCGTTCTGAGCTCCCTCTCGCTTCGGGCACAGAGCATCGAGCTCATCAATAAAGATGATCGCAGGCTGCCTGCCAGATTCAGAGAAAAGACAAAAGTACTGCACACGGCACATTACACGCCCGTCGACAAACTGTTGTACGGCGGTCTACAGCAATGGCCCCTTGACCTTTGGTCGTGATGTGACCTTGAAGCTGACGTGATGAAAAGTGAACGTAACCCTCCGTCTAACGATGATGCACATGTGCATGAAGCTTCATTAAACTGGTTATGGGCAGGGCAGCACAACGTTTACGTCCGACTACACCATACTACGTCCACTTTTACCAATTTATGACCAAGTTTACCTCTGAGACGCCTCGGTGAATATTTGCCTCAGCCGTCCTTCTGTTTCGCCATAAAACCTGCAACATGAAGCACAACACGTCTCTTTCACTCAATCTAACTTCCTCCTCGTATAATCGAACCCAGAGCTATTCAACCAGCAGTTATTCTCATGAAGTTTGTTTTACGATTTAAAATCTAGTTTTATTTAAAAATGAACCCATTGGTGGGCCGAAGTGAGTTCACTCGTGGTCATGTTTTGGCTCCCGGGCCGCCACTTGAATATCCCTGATCTAACCCTTCAGTCAGGCTGATGCAACGCGTCGGAGCCATACTTGCTCATGATCTCCGGGCCGTTGATCACCACCATGTGAGCTCCAACCTCGCTGGCTATGGCTCGTGCAATCATGGTTTTTCCTGTTCCTGGGGGCCCGTACAGCAGAACCCCTCTGGGAGGAGGGATCCCTGTAAAGAAACGGAACAATTAACCTTGATGAGGTAAAACGCTTCAGGTGAAACGGTTACATGTACGAGGCGGCGCACCGTAGTTGGAAAACAGCTCGGGTCGTTTCAGAGGAAGCTCGATGGTTTCTCTGATGACGTCCAGCTGCTTGCTAAGACCGCCGATCATGCTGTATGTAACCTTTGACCTCTGAGCTGCTTCCTCTGGGCCTGTCGGCCCCGCCCTGCTTCTGAACGACACTTTGGTGGAGCATGATAGAGAGTAGAAGGTGTCGGTGCTGGTCACACCAGCAGGGGGCGCCGTGGACACGTTCTCCTCCTGATTTGGGCTCAGTGAGTCCTCCAGACTGACAGCAGTCTCTGACGCGATGGGGGGACTCTGGGAGTTGGAGGAAGGTGTGAAGGGAGCCGCCGGTGAGAGAGGAGCTGGTCGGCGGGGGGTGCTGGCGGCAGGACCAGGCTCTCCATCCGTGTTGTCCTCCACAGTGAGCCTGCTGAGCTGCTGTGAGAGGTCAGCTGATGTGGAGTCCAGCACCGAGGACTCCTCTGGATCAGGGGCCACTCCCAGGGGAGGAGGCGGTCTCTGGAGGGTGACTCCATCCTCCCCCCTTAAGCTCTCGACACGAAGACTGCAGGAACGGCCAAAATAACTCAAAGAGATGATATTTCCAGGCAGGATGATGTTTCCAACTGGATGAAAAAATAAATAAAAACTGTATAATTTGAACATTAAAGCAACAAAATTTACTTTTATAGATTTAATAAGTCTTATTAAAAATAAAGAATCCCTTTATTTAACATTAGAGGCCACAATAATTTATATTATGGTTAATTAAACTGCAAATATAAACAATTACTGCATGATTTAAAATGTTGGGTTTTTTTACTAGTTACTGTGCGTACTCACCCAAAGCTCTCAGAAAGAAGTTTTTAAATTCATCAGTTTCTAGTTTTTCATCTTTTAACCTGAGTAAAAGAAGTGTGAGGTTGAGAAGATTAGACCAAATGTATTTTTTATACTTTCTCTTAAAAAATAAACCGATAAATAATCAAATATTTCACATAATTCACTCTTTTTAATAACTTCATCTAAACAAAAAGCATCACGCAAACGTGTTAAATCTGTAAAACTGTTGATGTCACTAATGGACATTTAAAGTGCAGTTGCACGGTGAGTCCAGCAGGGGGCGGAAGTGAGTTTAAATTACTACAGTGGTCTGGAAGAAAAACTGAACCAAGTTTAATCTCTACATGGAAGAAAAACTTAACCACGTTTAATCTCTACATGGAAGAAAAACTGAACCACGTTTAATCTCTAC